TTTTAGGAGACATATGCACCTTATAGTATGTCTCTAACATGAAGTGCAGCATACCCCTAATTTTCGCCATTAAGGGACCCCACTATGGTGGTCTAAAATCGATAAGAATAGGCTTCGGTCGTCACCCGGGCAAAATTCAAAATCTTCTACCACCTGAAAAAGTTTAATGTGTCCCGCGCGCTCATATGACCTTATGCAGTTGTGAGCGCCGTAAAACACTTACAAAAACAAAAACAAAAAAAAGTTCTCTTGTTAGTGCACCGTCCTTCAGCTACTTACGAGACTTTGTTGTTGCTCATGTCCAGTTCCACCAACGTGAGTCTGCACTGATCAACAAGGTCAGGCGGAAGGCCACTCAAGCCCCTATAGGCCAGCGATAGGCGCACGGGCTTCTGAACCTTTCTTGCATCCCCCATGATGACCTGCAACTAAGTCGGTCTTCCTGAGCTCCAGGGGGTCTCTGAAAGTAGAAATGATATTAATGATAATATTATTGTATGTACGAGTATGTGTGCAGTAAAAATGAAAATCATATTTAAATTAAAGAGAGGGGGGGGGGGGCAGGAAGTAGTCGTTCGTTCGTACAGGTTGCTGTATTGAACAGAATGTCGTTTGGACAGGTACGTAGATAGATAGATAGATAGATAGATAGATAGATAGATAGATAGATAGATAGATAGATAGATAGATAGATAGATAGATAGAGACAAGGAGGGAAGCAGGGAGAGAGAGAGAGAGAGAGAGAGGGGGAGAGAGAGAGAGAGAGAGAGAGAGAGAGAGAGAGAGAGAGAGAGAGAGCGTGTGTGTGTTTGTGTGTGTGTGTGTGTGTGTGTGTGTGTGTGTGTGTGTGTGTGTGTGTGTGAGCAGGGGCGAAGGCTGACTTGTTTGACAGGGTAATCAAAATAAGATGGGACCAGATAGGGCCTGGAGATATCACACTTACACACGTCACAAGAATCTTACTGGCACTGGAGGCGGCAACTCTGAGTTGTGAATGAAAACAAATCCTGAATTCATGTTGTATGCATATTCAACCGCTAAAATAATCGGGAAAGTATTTCATTAAATATTTATTCTAACCTTAAATTTAACTTTAGATTTGAACACACGAACACCAAGGAAAGAAGCAGAGATGTCAGTACTACAATGGCATGTTATACCAGACAGCCGGAACACTTTGGTAGAGCATGCCAATTATTAATTTTTTAGTTCACATTTGGCTGTTTTTGGTCTAGCTTTTCGCGGTCAGGAGCCGGTGTCATAATCGAGGTCACGACCTGATTATAGGACGTTAAAAGGTCGAGGAAAAAAAACCAAGCACTCGCAGCAGTCAAGATATTATTAGGAGTTAGTTCCCCTCACATCTGTGAGGTAGACACGACCAGTGTAATCATTAGCTTACATAATCAGCGAGTGTGATTGCTCATAACTGTGGCTCGAAAGGGGTGAACAGGGTATATGCGGCAATGAAACAGTTTTGACTGCTATGCACATGTTCCCTTCTACTCTATTGGTAGACTCTTCCAGCTTCACTTTAAGTTTACTTAATCAAAGCTTGTGACTTCTTATGGAGTGGCCCAATAGGGGCGAACAGGCCATTTCTGTGGCAATGAAACGGTTTTGAAGGTTAGGCATAGTCTATTGTTCATTATTGGTGATTATGAACGTCTTTTTACATTTAATTTATGAGGTTTACGTCTATGGGTGAATTTGACTGCGACAATGTTTCAAAATTAGAGATTATTTGATTATATAGACGCTTCGCCTCTGTGTGTGAGTGAGAGAGAGAGAGAGAGAGAGAGAGAGAGAGAGAGAGAGAGAGAGAGAGAGAGAGAGAGAGAGAGAAAAAAAGCCCAGGGTGTCTCCATCAAGTGGGCGTCGAATCGAGCATGAAATACATCGGGATACAACAAACAAGCTGGTTTGGACATGAAATGAGAATGGGGCCAAAACAGCTCACCCCTAAGGCCTACAACTTGCGATTCATTGGCTTCAAGGTAAAAGGAAGGCCAAGTAAAAGATGGATTGACAGAATCAAAGAAACCCTCCAAAAGAACAACAAGACGATCCAGACAGCAACACACTTGACCCATGTCCGACAACTGCATCCCCCCCCCCCCCCCCCCATGACACCTCGTGGTGTAAGAGGACAAAAACGGTCAAAGTAAAAGTAATAATAAAGATATGTACCTCGCAAAATAAAATTTGTATAAATATTGCCCGCCCCCCGGCGTTAAAAAAATGTGCGTTTAGAAAATTAAAAAACTAACCTTTATGGGATTTTCGTGGGG